ACATTTCCATCCGAAAATTGCATCTCTCTCTAGTCTTTGCCAGATCTTCCTCGTAAGAGTATCTAAACACCAAAGGATGCTAGACCGACTGGTCGAGTACTCCGGTTGACACCCTCGCGGTCTGAGTTCGATCACCCACGGGGGCGGATTTGCAGTGCCAGAGGTGAAAAAAAATCACGTGGTCAGTCTCACGTTTCCCAAAGCACGGGTTAGAAAGGACCGGCCCCTCACATGGTAACGGGCCCGGTGTGAGGGCGGGGCATGGGGTTTTGGAGTTTTTTCGTCCTGCGTGAGAGGTCTCTATCTACCTTGAGCCGAAAATCTCGGAGGCTGTCTAACCACCGCGGACGAGTTTTTTTAAGAGTATCTAAAACCATTTCTGCATGCTATAAGGGTCGGAACATTGTTTATCCCTCCTATATAGTTCATTTTCTTTCATTTTTCTTCCCTTTTACATAAACACTCAATTGCAACATCATAATAATTCAAAATTTTATGATTCCACTACACATAGTTCATAATTTTGTATTCATCTTAAAATTGAAAATCCAAATTCAAAATCCATATATGTGCTAGTGGTGGCAAAGCGTGAGCAGTGCGGAGCAATGGGGCATGTGCATGAGGGGGCGGGAGCTGAGGATGTTTTCAAGTCTAGGAGATTGGATTTCATTGATTGATCCCGTCGCCTAAGCCTTTTTCTTTTTTATTTCGGCCGAGATTGCAAGCCCAATCAGCAAAGTGGGTCACAATTGATAACATCACCCTACGTAACAAACATTTATAGTAGCTTATTAAAACAATGTTCTTATATTAAAGGCTTTAAAACAATATTCACACGTAAGTATACTCGTATTGAGCAAGGCAGGTTCATGGAAAAATTATCCTTACTTCAACAGAAAATTGGTGTACCTTCGCCAGAAAATGGTATAGATTTAAGAGAAAAATGTTCCAACTTCACAAGAAAATTGTTCCATATTTGGGAAAAAATGTTCATAGCGCAAATGTAAAATGTTCTAGCCTCACGATATATTTTTAATAATTAAATTTTAATACTCCCTCCATTCCAAATTATACATCATTCTAAGAATCTTGAAAAGTCAAAGCATCTCAAGTTTGACCAAAATTATAGAGAAAACTACAAAGATTTATGACATCATATAGGTATACTATGAAAATATAATTGATGATCAATCTAATGATACTTAGTTGGCATCATATATGTTATTATCTTATCATATAAATTTGATCAAACTTGAGATGCTTTGACTCTCCAAGATTCTTGGAATGACTTATAATTTGGGTTGGAGGGAGTAGAATGTTCATGTCACCGGCCGATCCCGGCCCCAATGGCCAACCCCAGCGAGGCCAAGAGGAGGGCCTTGGTTGGCCGTGCCCTGGGCCAAGGCGGCGCCCTAGGCACACGCACTGAGGGGCTGACAGCCCCACTAGAGCTGTCAGCCTCCTTCCCCCTGGAGAAGTCCGGATTAGATAGAAATTAGAAATAAAATTAGATGAGGATGAGAATAAAAGGAAATTGAGTTTGTTTAGAAAAAGAAGAATCCAAATCTATAACGACTCTACCGATAGATGGCCATGCAGCCCGTCGGCCGACTGCCAAGCCCGAAGCACGGTTTTTTGGCCCGGGCTGAGCACAGCATGGCCCAGTGTTGTGCGGACTTGGGCCGGCACAGCGTGACGCATAGGCCCATGCCTAGGCCACTCCTTAGGCACACCGGATGGCACAACATGGCCAGTTGTTTAATGGGAGGGTCAATGAAGGTACACTCCCTTTTATAACCCCTCAGACTGCCGCATCACACATGCGCTTGGTCGCCTCCCATTCGTGCATGGCCACCTCCTTCCCTTCTCCCCTGCTGCGCACGGCTGCTTCCTTCCTTTCTCTCACCGGTGGGGAGCGCCGTTGTGAGCTCCTCAACTCCACGTGGCTATAGGCTTGCCCACCGCAATCTGTCCTCAACCGCGCAGAAGGCAAGCACACCGAGACCGTGGGGTGCTGGCCCCAATGCAAACTTCGCCCAACCACCCTCTCTGTTCAACGGTCGAGGGTGCGGTTGCGGCCCGTGGGATCCCCTCCTCCACAAGATCTCTTTTCGCCGCATCCGGCATTAAGCGCATCAAGACGAGCATGTGGTCGCCGCCGCCACCTCCCATGGCTTGCGTAGGCGCAGCTGCCTCCCCTTCCCCCTCTCTCTCTCTCTCATTAGTCTCTACTCGCATTTAGTGGACCTCGGGCTACACAAGTCTGTTGGCCATGTTGTGCTTTTCGGGCCGGTCTAGCTTAAAATCAGCCCGGTGTGCCGTGATGGGCCAATGGCCAGGCACGAAGCCCTCTTCGGCACGGCCCAGCGCCCTGACGTTCCGTGCCCAACCCGGCCTCATCAGGCCATGTTTTTTCCCAAGTCCGTGCCGGGTCGGGCTAGGCTGCCCATTTGGTAATATATAACTCTACCTATAGATTGCTTGAGGTCAAGTCCCTTAATATAGGGGTCATTTACTCGTTATGATTAAGCAAAAAATAAAGGATTGCTCCTCTCACTCTCCCTTTCTCTCTGTCTCATGTGTCTCTCCCTCTCTCTGGCCGCGCGCACGCCCTGCTGCCCTAGCCACCGCTCCTCCCTCCCCCTGTCACCCCAATCCGATCGGTGACCATCGCATTTCATATTAATTTAGAACTTTTAGATTAGCAACTTTGTGTTCCATCTTTACAATATTTCATATTGAATAAACATGTTCTACAATCACAGTAAATATTTTTGTTATACAAATAATGATGTATGATGCAATCATAAATATAAATACTATAGGATAACACAGAAAAAGAAAAATAGAAAAAAAGGAAAAGAAAAACGAAAGAATGAAATAGCAACGTTAAAAGACTTGCGGGTGAAAGCAAAGAGACGACAGAAAGCTAATTGTGCCAAAGCTAAATGATAAGCTTTGAGTAACTAGTTCTTTATAGCTTTGGATGCCGAATAAGGCTGTTGGTCTTCTAGCGAGCCCTGAAAGTGTTCTGCAAGGCAAGGTAGCCACAACTGTGCTTTATTCTTTGCGTCTTGATTGGTAGGTTCTCTTCTCACGGTACGTGGTGTCTTCAGTGAGGATCGATAAATGTGAAGTGATCATATCAGAAACAAACTGTACGTGGATCATATCATGTAATAACTGATGAAAGGACAGAGTGACAATGTTGTTTTGAACCCATCCATTTTCTACCTTTTTTTTTAGCTTCGTTACACTGTTTTGGGACCGATCGCCACCGGACCCCTGGGTTCCCCCAAAGGTCTCAAAGGTTCTCACCGCCCCAACAGCTTGGCGCCGTCCATGATTTAGACACGTCATTATAAATAGTGACAAAGACATCATTAAGGACACCTCAAGGAGATCCACAACCCTCATCAACAAGCTATGGGACAAAATGATGGTGAAAAAAAAATCTGAGGCAAGAAGCCCTGGTGCATGAGTAACATGTTGCTGAAACTTTATATTATTTTCTCGAGCATCTTAACAACTCAAATGTAAAACTTTAAACCTATAAAGTTGTAGATCTTATTGGGATCTGCAACAATTTGATATAAAAAGTATCTTCATTTGACACCGTAAAAAAAGATATTATTTTTCTAATGCGACAAGCACCAGTACGCGATGATTATACTGCTAAAATTTTATATTATTATTTTAAGCATCTTAACATCCTCAAATTGAAAAACTCAAAACTAGAAAGTTGTAGATCTCATCGAGCTATACAATTTTTATATAAAAATTATCTTCATCCGACGCTGTATCTTAGAGTTATGAATTATGTAAAGTTGAGTCTTGTCACGCCACTCCTGGTGGCGCGACAAGATAACACTATCACGTCAACGGGAGTGGCATGACAAGGTTTTTCACGTCAAAAACGCCATCCAACGTGGCATATCTTGTCACGCCAACGCATGTGGCGCGGTAGAGTTATTTGGTCATGTGACAAAAAGAGTTAGATCTGCAAAAATTTTTAGACACGGTTATTATTAAAATATTGAATAAAAGATGATTAAAAAAAAAACTCCTCAGCCAGCAGACTAGGAAGCCGAGGAACTCTTGTTGTGTCACCTTGAAGAAGTAGAAATCTTTGGATGGAGATTATCTGCACATGAAGTTGCTTTTATAAAATGACTTTTCAATTAGGGGACAAGGCTTAAAGAGATGACAGTAAATTTCTATTTTACATTCCTCTGAAACCAAGGCAAAGGAGTTGTACCAAGTATTTCAGAGTTTCTCTAGGCCAGGACTATGCACGAAATTTTACCTATATCAGAAACATGGGAAGGTATTATATGCACCTGAGTACTAGCACACCAGGTTATCACTGTAGACACTTCTTTATGGTTTATGTTTTCTAGCTTGTTATGAACCGTACTGTACGAGAGCATCGAAATGCTAGAAGATCTTAAAGGAAAATGTTGAATTAACGAAAAACATTTAATCCAACTATTTAAACTCAAATATGTGCATCGCTAAAAGGCTCTCTAATAACCGAATCAAAACTTTGGATAGGTAGGACGATCTTAAAAGGATTAGCTTTGGGTAACTGGTTCTTTATAGCATTGGATGCTGAATAAGTTTATCGTTTCTCTTCTAGCAAGCCTCTGAAAGTGTTCTGGAAGGCAAAGGTAGCCACAGCTGTGTTTTATTCTTTGCGTGTCGGTAGGTTCTCACGGTACGTGGAGTCTTCAGTATGTGCACTGATCATATCTGAAACAAAAGTGTACGCGTGAATGAACGAATGCTTCTTTGCGTGCTGTCTGAATAATCCCTGGATGCCTCCAAGTGAACTAGCCAGAGACCGGGAAATATATATACAGATATATACATATAAAATGCCATGCATCGGCCATCAAATTAAAGACCACCCTAACCAGGCATCAGCTTCCGATCCACCATTGCATGCTAAGTGTGCATTTCTTTCAGATTCAAAGCTACGGAAAAAAAAATAAGGAATGATGGAAGAGGTTGGAAGGCCGGAAGAGCTGATGATCAATCGAGCCACAAGGCTTTGGAAGGACACAGGCGACATTGCAAGCGCTCTTGGGTATCTAGCGGTTTTCTGGTCCACCGTCGTGCTCCTCGGTGGCTTCGTCGGTGATCTGCTGCTCAAGGAGTTCTGGGTTCTCACTGCACTCAGCATCATCATGTCATTGAAGTAAGCAATAATTTTTTCATCTCCGTTAATTTTGTCTCCCTTTGTATTAGTCCAATTGCAATTATAATTTTGTTTTTCATTATCAGAAAATTAAATAGGAATAATTATAATGTGTCGGTGCCTGTCACGGTCCTGCTTGGGGGGTGGGGGGGTGCAAGAGGGCAGCGGTGGCGGCCTTGGCGTTAGAAATGATCTATGTTTTTTCCTGAACAAAATGAGCTATTTTTTGTCTAAATTTTTTCCGATTTTTTTCCTTTCAGTGTTAGAATTCTCATATATCAGATATTCCCGTTTATCAGTGACCACCGAGATTTAAAAAATGTCAGTAAAGTAAACCTTGGTCCGGTTTCAATTGTTTTCAGATTCTTGGCAAGTATAGGCCGAATCATTTCCATTTCCAAAACATCCTCCGTCCATTAAACGTGCCATTCTGTTGTAGATTATCCTTCTAGTGGATGTGTGACCATAAAAATCCATTCTCAAATAATAGGAGCCCCAATTTTAGTGTACGATATGTATATGTGCGTACTATTCACATGTTCCCCATGTCCGATCTACGTCGTCTTTTCACGATCATATGTTCCACGCAATTTTGTATTGCATGGCTTCACAAAGTGAACTGGAATGAACCGGCGGCTCTAGTCTAGATACACTGTCTTCCAATTAGTCATGGAGTGGCTACCGCTAAAAGCTCAGTCCTAAAATTATTTGACACAATATCCTTAATTTTATTTGTCATATCTATAGACAATCTTATCCCCTGCTGATCTAACATATTACACAGGATGATTAAATTTGGTATCTACGAGGTTGGTACAAATGTTTACATGGAAGAAATTTATATTATCACTGATATTCTCCGCCGACGGAAACGGACTGAGGAGCGCAAGTATTCTGTTATCTTTATTGTGCTGAGTGTGATGCTTGTAGTGAAGCGGGTTTTCTTGTGTCTTTTAGCTTTGGTCTATCTTGTTTCCCCAGTTGTGAACCTGGGGGTTTCAGTGTGGCGTCTTGTAAGACGAGATTATGGTGATGCGGGTGGAGATATCCCCAATAGAGCAAAACTGATGGCCGCACTGGACATCTTCTATGCTCTAATTCTGTTGCAGAGTTTATTCGCCTTCTACTTTTTAGTTATTGACTCCTATCTTGGATATAGCATGAAATCGATGAACAAACACACTGGATTATTTGAAGAATGGGGTTCAAAAGTAATTGGTATGTATCAACGTGAAACAGAAAGGAAATTAAAAGAGAGCAGGGAGCTGCCAGGCAATTGGAACTTGATTGCATACGGTGTTGAGTTGCTCCAGTCTGCATCTGAGGATGACCGTCTATGGGGAGCAAGGGTATTAGACAGCTTGTGCTTGTTTGATAAGGAGCTACTATCTGTAAGGGGGGAGCTACTATCCTCCAGGCTCTCTATTAAGAACCTGATCGGCATGATTGGTCTGAGAAGCACAGATAAGATCGAGAACAAAGAGCGTGCCACGAGGATTGTTGCTCATCTTGCCAGTGACCTCCATATAACACACCTCCCAGGTACACTACAATGCATTTATTCCCTACTTGAATGTTGTAAGCAATATGGTGAGCCACTAGTTATTCGTCCATTGGAGAATCCTCAACAGGGACTTCCTCATCCTGATACAAAGGATCAGCATGGGTCACTGGAAACACCCGAGCATCAAGGTGATTTCCTCATAGTGTCGATGCCAAACAAAACTGACCATAGATATGAACAAGTCATTAGTTCATTACCTACCTGGTTAGTCAAGAAAGCAACAACAATGTTAGGTAAATTAATCAAGAAATTATATGAGTTGACGGAACCTCCTAAGCCCTACAGCCACCCCTATAAAACTATAGGAACCAAAGAGCTGATTGCACATGGCCTGATGATTCTTGAGGGGCTCACACAAGATCAAGTAAACTGTACAGAGATAATCAAACACCAATTGCTACTCTCTGAGATCACATCACCACTGAGAAGGCATGACTTTCTCAGCAATGTGCGAGACTGCAGAATGGTTGAAATTCTGAGCAGATCACTCACTGTGGTGAGCAGGCTGCTTGGCAGTCTTGGAGACGGTGCCACAAGTCTACGCCAGGAGTTGGTGAGTAACACGGAAGCTATCAGCAATCTGATGGGTATTTTGGAAACTGACAGCAAAGGCGCCCAAAAACTGCATGATAAAGCCATTGAGATCTTGACAGAGTTAGCCTTTGATGGTTCTTTCCAAAAACTAGATTTCAACAAGCTTTTCGATGCTCTGCTATGCATCTTCCTTGATGAAGAGACCAGCAATACTATAGCAGAACAAGCAGAAAAAGATAAAGCCACCAAACTGAGGGTAAAAGCAGGGGAAGCACTGGCCACATTGCTTCCTGTTTGCTCTACAAGATATGCTAATGTTGCTGATATACTTCCCGAGCAAGAGGCAATCAACCTATTGACCAAGGTAAATCACTACCTCTACCTTCTCGTTGCCTTTGATCTTATTACCAGCTTCTCATATGTCAGTTAATTTCTCTTACTTCTGTAACATAGAGATATATTTTCTCCGCACCAACATTTCCTAAGTATATGGAAAAAGTCCAAATCACACACCCTATGTTTGGCCAATGTCCGATGCTAAACTAACATTTGGTTCGATTTACTCCCTCAAACTATTTCAACAATTCCAATTTCTCCAGGTGCAAGCTTCGGGGTAGTAATTTGGACTTTTAGTATCCCTTCTGATCCAAATTATGTCATTTTAGTAGGATAGTTTTGCAATAGTCTTTTTTTCTATATATAGGCAATTTGTCATAAATATCCATCATCTTACACTACTACACTAAACTTAATCGAAGCGGGCATTTTTCATTATCCGAGAGCGGGCAAAGGCAACCGCCTCCGTCGAAAGGTCACGGTTAATCAGTGAATAAAGGAGGCGGTTGCCCTGCCCGCCTCGGTTAATCGATTAACCATGGCGGGCTACTTACAACGCCCGCCTCGGTTAATCGATAAAAAAACAAAAAAAAACCGGGCCCACCGGCGAGCCCGTTCCCAAGCCCGTCGCCGAGCTCGTTCCTGAGCCCACTAGCCAAATCCGGCGATGCAGGACGCCGTCGTCGCCTCCACGCCGGCCTCCTCCTCGCCTCCATGTCGGATCTGGGCGTAGACGGAGCAGGGGGATGCCCACTCGCCAAATCCGGGCACTGCTCGCCTGCGGGGAAGAGGGAGAGGGAGAGGGGAGGGAGGGGCGCCGCCGCGCTGTGGTCCGCCCGCTGCTCTCCTCCGCCAAGGATCCGCCCACTGCTCGCCTCCACGCTGGCCTCCTCCTTGCTCGCCTCCATGCCGGATTTGGCCGAGGAAGGAGGCGAGCACCACCGCCCCCAACCAGATCTAGCCGAGGAAGGAGGGATCTGGCCACACGCCGTCGCATATGCCTTGATGTGCCTCGATCCGTCTCGATCTGCCTCATACCGCCTCGATCCGCCGCCGGAGCTCGCGAAGCACGCCGTCGAGGCGCGCGGCGCCCACTACAGGGCCCCCACTGCCGGAGCGCACGACACCCACACCGGGGCGCGCGAACCCCGTTGCTAGAGTGCGTCATCGAGAGATGGAGGAGGGAGAGGGAAAGAGAGGTCGCGAGGAGGGAGGAGGGGCACTGCTCAGGCTTGGTCTCGGAGGGAGAGGGCGGTCGCGAGGACGGATGCCGCTCGGGAGGTTGCGAGGAGGGTGGGGGCGCCGCTCGGGAAGTTGCGAGGAGGGAGGGGACGCCGCTCGGTCTCACAGAGCGAGAGGGAGTCGGTGAGGCGTGAGAGAGGAGTGAATGAGAAACCCTAACTTCTTGTATTTATACTCGAAGACAGTTATCGGGTCTTGTCTGGGCCTGTTGGGCCTCGGCCTTTTTGGAGGCGGGCCTTATAATGTGCCCGCCTCGGTTAATAATTAACCTTAATAACCGAAGGCGACCGCCTTGGGTTAATAGATATTAACCGAGGCGGACGTTTAAGGTTGGCCGTCTCGGTAAATTATTAACCGAGGCGGTTGCTGGGCTAGCTGCCCGGCCACCAAATAACGGAGGCGGGCAACCAGCCCGCCCGCCTCCGAGCCACAGAACCAAACGCCTTGGTTAAGTTTTTGTGTTGTAGTGTTAGCTACTAAGTGGTGCTTGCATTGGATTGATACATATACTTACGAAATGACAAGAGGCTATCTTAATTTGTTCAAGTAATTAACATATAGATAAAACGACATTCTTCTTCAACTAGAGATGAGTTGCATCAACTGTATCATGTATGATACGATTATAAAATTGCTCATCCTTGGTGCTAAATTATGTTGTTCCAGGTGCTTGATCAAATAGTATCTAGTAAAATGGGAACTACTGCAGTTGAAGCCAAAGGGGATTCTACAAGCAATGAAAAGCAATCCGAGGAAGAAAAATGTTTGGCAGCCATGTTATCCCTGGCCGTAGTGATATGCAATGAAAATGTGATCAATAAAGAAGATTCTGTTGATGCCAGCCCTAAAGATGCATCGCTGGTGAAGAAGCTCAAGGAGATACTTGAATCAAACAAGCGCAGATCGGCTGAGTGTTTGATGATAGTGAAGCTCATCTGCCAGGTGGTCATAGCCATGACTAAAGTAAAGCACAGCTGTATCGAACAGTTCAATGAACATAATTTCACAGAAGCACTTACAAAGGCGTTGGAAACCATGTCGGAGGTTGATGACTGCACGCTCTTTACTGGGAATGACCGTGAGGTGATCAAGCCTGCCAGATCTCTCTCTTGTCTTGTGAAGGAAGCACAGGAACTCCTGCAGACAGCATAAAAACAGGGTAACTGCCTAACTGGTGTCTCTGAATGATCAAGGAGACATGCATCGTTAAGTATACTATGTCGGTACCAAGGACAAGGAGGTTACCTCTTAATGGACCGAATCGTCTTCGTGGCTATTTGTGTTTTATTTGAGAAAATAAAAACTTGTGTTTTGTATTCTTGTTTCAGAACTAAGGATTTGCAATTCATGTTGACAATCTGTTCTTGCTTGAGAACTAGTAAGGATTTGCAATTCATGTTGACAACCTTAGTGTCCCTTCTGATCCAAGTGATGTATATCCATAACATGTCTTGTAGTTGAAGAGCATTGGAATTGGTGAATCGATCGATGTGATAGCCTGTTAGGGCCGTGCAACGAAATCGGTGAACTCTGCACAACTACTACTCACTGGTTAAGTATTTCGTCGAACACCTCGCTCTCCAAACCCTGGTGACCGACTTGGGCGCTGCTACACCACGCCTGGAACAAACATAGCCCCACTCTGTAGCCACGTCTTCCCCTGCCCTTCGCCGCCAGGCCCGCGACTCTGCTCTGCTCCCGTGATCCCGTCTCGATGGAGAAGGGTGGCGGCGGCAGCGAGAGCGCCGCCAAGCGGGCGAGGCTCTCCTCCGGTGATGTCGATTCGGCCGCCGCCGCAGGCGAGGACCGGCTCAGCGCGCTCCACGACGACGTCCTCGTCTCCATCCTCCTCCACCTCAGCACCCGAGCCGCCGCGCGGACCACCGTCCTCTCCGGCCACTGGCGCCGCATCTGGGCCCTCCTCCCGGAGCTCCGCTTCGGTGAGGCCACCGAGCCCCACCGGTTGCGCCCTCGACGCCTGCGAGGCGCCCGTTGGCTACCTCTTAGTCCAGGCCCACGGTGCCACCTCCGAATCTATAGGGGTCTGGCTCCCCGCCGCCGCGCCCCGCGTCTCCGGCGTCCTAACCCTTCTCAACTACGGTCCGCGATATGGTGCCAAGAAGGAGGATGAAGCCGCGCAAAGAGGCGCTTTTGAGCTCCCCTGCTTTGAGAAGGCCACTGCGATTTATCTCTTGTTGGATTTTCTGGGCCTCGCCATGCCTCCCGCAGACGTTTCCACCCGGCTCACAAGGATCTACCTCCTCCTGAGCGTCTGGTTCCACGGCCCAGGCGATCTAGGCGACGTCGTTTCCTCGCCGCGGTGCCCGTGCTTGCAGAGGCTCGACGTGGACGGCGCCCGTGGGCTGGGTGGCCTCTCCATACATTCGGAGTCTATGCTGCAGTTGGAGCTCAAGAACATGCGTGCCTTGTCTCAGCTCACCGTTGTGGCACCGGCGCTCAAGGAGTTAACTTTGGAATTCTGCTTTGCCAAGAGTGGACCTGTCGCCAACATCACAACCCCTTTGCTGGCGAATCTTGTGTGGAATGATGTGTATGATCTGAGCTCTGTCAACCTTGGCAAGATGGAACATCTCCGATTGCTGGGCACGTACTCTTGTTTTGTTTATGAATACAATCACTTCATGAGGAATCAGTCTTGTGTAAGTCTGTTGCAGCGCTTTGAGGGCATCGAAACTCTTCTTCTAACGCTGGCCTATCCGCTGGTGAGTTCTCACTTCTCTTATCTGGATCGAATTATGCCATTGCCATCTTATTTGTACCATGGTAGTCTATCCATCCAGGTTCTTATGTGACATGCTGACTAGTCCTAGGCTACTGCCCCATAACTAAAGTTTGCTAAAGACGCCTTTTTGTACATAAAAACTTGCACAATGTCCTAACTGATAAGGCTTGAGTAGACATATAAAAGCAAGAAATAAAGTACTTCATACATATTAAACACACGAGTCTTTGTTTAGGGTAAAAAAAGTTGAATTGTACCTTGAACCAAATGGCCTAATAAAAATAATGTTTTGTTATCATTATTTTGACTTTTTTTGTTGAATTGTCTAGATGATGATGATATCAGCAATCCACCATAGGGAAAAATCATCTCATGTTTTGGTTTGCTCGTGTCCCTCCAACATTGCTGAGCACACTCATTCATCACTGTTGTTGAATATATGCTGAAGAAACATGAGATCCAAAATATTTTCAAGAGAAAATGCAAAGTGGCTCGCTATGGCCAGGCTTTGTGTAAGAAATCCATAATATATTTGTTAGCTTTATTATAGTGATCCTTTCATGCTGGCTCACAACAATGGCCAGCTCTCAACAATCACTTAAACTAGAAAGCCAGGGCGCAGCGTTGCCACGCCATCTTTGAGCTGAGCTGTCGTAGTTTTGCCAGAGTTCCATTAGGTCATCTTTGTAGCACTTTAGGGAATGTGATTTTATAAAAGAAAATTAAATGCTTGTAGTCAAAGTTTTGAATTGGCTTTTCAAATGGTCAATCCGAGAGAAGTTTTTGTGCAATGCATTTATATATCTAATATTCTGCAAAGGGAAGAACAAAGTGACAATGTCTAAACATGTAGATATGCATCTCCAATCATAAGACGAATGATGCAGTACATCAATGTGACAATGTCTAAACATGTAGATATGGAGAACACGTTTCAACCCCTGCAATATGTCAGGTGTTCTTCTAAACAATAATTTCAATTTTTGCTAAAAGAAGTTGATCTAGGACTTTTTCTAGAATGTTATCAAAATTAAATGTAGAAACTCCATCATGCTCTAGAATTTCAAATTCCAAATAATGGTCTATCATTGTGATGACTTGTAGCTAGTTTCTTGACTCGCCTCGAGTAACTAGTAAGCTGCAGTTTGTTACATATTGCCACCTAATTGAGACATACTGAAAACCTGAACCTAGAAAAGAATTAGTTGCTCTTTTGAAGAAACATCCGATATAACAGGGACAGTACAAAACTGAAAAGGAAAGAAAAAACATGCTTAGTGTGGAGATGATAGCGATAAGCCTGATAGTAATAAAAAGAAGGGATACATGCCTGATAATGGCATGCCATGTTATTTTCTGATAAATACATTTAACCAGCCGCAATCTTCTTGGATCTAAACTTGGATATCCAGGTCATGTGTGCGAGATAATTCAGTTGTGGTGGTGCTACTGCAAATTAGCAAACAAAGAAAAGTATTGTTATTGTAAGATTATTAGGATTGGATGTGACAGTTTAATTTAAAATCAAAATTATAACAAAATAGAGTGCATTGACATATCAAACATATAGGTGTTTAAAAGCAGAGCAGCTTATATTTGCTTTTTTTTCAGGGGAAGGCATGGAGTGCCGTTTTGTGTTAGTAAGATAAAGATATATATTAGGTATTTTATGACTCGTCTCGGTAGCATAGGTAACTGTTAGCTTGTGCATGTGGCACTTCGATGGTACTATCAGATTAAATTGACTTCATTATTTTTGCTGGTTAAAAAAATGAGACATGGAAGTAAGATCAATTACCAATCACATATAAACAAAAGTTATCTATGTTTCCATGTTTTTAGACTGCACCTAGCATGATTAATTAATAGCGCTAAATTGAAGAAGAAATGTTATTAGCAGATGCCAATGTCAGTTCCACACTGCTATCACAAGTTTTTACAGATGTATTGTTGTTGTTGTTGTATTGATCAAAGCCTTGCTAACCCGTTTAAGTTCCTGTAGTTGGAGATTATAAAAAAATCAACATACCATCGGATCCCAAATTATAAAAATCGATATTAAATTTGCATGTCTACTCATGTATGCAAAATAAACTATTGTGTAAATATTGTACATTGATCAGTAACACAGAATATTACTTTTTCATCAGAGGTTTGTCTCTGAGATTTAAGTAAATCATTATTGGTAATTTGCATAATTACTTGGCTTATCTTTGAGGTTTAAGTAAATCAATCTTTGGTGATTTGCATAATTACTTGGCAGATATTTCCGGATAAGTGAACTAAATAGAACACTGCATCACAGACATAGCACAGAAATCTAATCATGGTGCTCCTAATCGTCAAAGCTGCAGACATGCACATTTTATCAAACACCATGGCTGCAGTGCAGCAATTAGAAAAGAGGAGAAAAAACATACCAACAAGGATTGTAATCTTTGGTTTTGCACACCCTTGAGGAAGGAGTTGCCCGCTGCTTGCGCTCCCAGCCGTTTCTCGTCTCGTACCTATGCTGGTCGGTGTAGCAGCTCCTCGCGGATTCATTACCATGGGCCATCGCCGTTATGGAAGATGAGCTGCTTGGGCCGTCGCACTGCGTGCGCTCCCAGCCTGTGCTCGGCCACTCCCGCGTGCGAGGGCCGCGGGCACGGCGGCTCCGGCCACTCGGCGTGTGTGGTAAACCCCCCACACACACACACACACGGCGCCCCCGGCGCGGGAGCGCTTGGCCATTGGTGACTATTAGCATGGGTCGTGGATAGGGATGAAAATGGTACGGATATTTTTCGACCGTATTCGAGACCGAATCCGTTTAAAGGGGTTCAGATCTGTTCGTATCCGAGTCCGGATATTCAATATCTGATACCGTATCCATATCCGAATACTCAAATCGCATATTTATGATGTCGATATCCAATCGTATCATATCCGATATGGTTGACACTATCCGTATTCGAATCCGAATCCGGACAGAAATATGAAAACAAATATAATATCAGTGATATCCGTTCGTATCCGATCCATTTTCATCCCTAGTCGCGGAGGCAGCAAAGGGCAGAGGGAGCCAGGGAGGCAGCGTGGCCCGGCGACGGCAGTGAGGAGAGGAGTTGCTTGCGAATCACAGGCTCGAGACGAAGAAGGCTCTTGTGCCCGTTTTCTGCACGTTCGATCGTAATCCAATGGCTGAGGAAAAGCAGGCTACGTGGCCGAGCTTGGCCCTGATTTCGTAATGTAGAGAAATAACTTTAAGTTTCATTCTGTTTCTAACTGTCACATATGACCCCCTTGGTTTACTTCCTACGGAACACAGGACATGGCAGAGTGTATTATTATCAATACTACATTATGGAGGACATGGCTTTGGGGCCAGCGTATTATTCCATGTTCTCAGATTGTGTACTGGTATAAGAAGGTTGATGCTGCAATGTGTTACTAGTGACTCAGAGCTAAAGCTATTCTTTGTTTACCTAAATACTCCCTCCAGACACTGAAAAAATGTAGCATTTTGGTTCTAAAAAGGCACCTTTGAAAAATATTTTTTATTAAAATATATGTCGAAATAAAGCCAAATTAAATCGAAGTATTATGAAACTATTTTTCAAGGTAGACCGACGCTTGCTGTTTTTGTGATGAAAAAGCACGCGTTTGTATTTAGTTAGTATATTTAGGTTGCCAGGGAAGTAAATGTAAAGAAACCTGCATTTGCAATTTTTTGGCATGCCAAGGCTTATGCGTGGAGTTGGTAAATATATGGTTTATTTGATATCCTAATTATGTCACTTTAGTCTATAGATTTTACTGAATGGTATACTATTTGGGCTGTAAATAGTTGCTCTCTTTCTAAGTTACTGTTAGCCTGTTTGAAATATATGGCAGTGATGGTGTCGTTGCATGGCACTAGGCAGATCGACCTTGGTAATTTAGATAAGAGTTGGGAAATAGCATTGCTGTGGACAGGAAGTAGAAGGAGTCATTGGTCCGGGTATGTTCATTTTTTTTTTAAATGAATAAAGGTTATGTACTTCCATTAAGACCCATGCACTAAGCTTGATTCAAAATCTCCTTAAATTTATGTGATTAATAGCATGTTAGAAATACCTGCAGTTTTCTTGGATTTTATAACAGATAACTGAAATTATGCTCTCGTTTGTTATCTTCTCTCAAAATAGAAAATTATATTGCTGCACAATTAGTTTTTAGTCTGAATTATTTTTATAGTTGTTGCTGTCAGCACATTGACAGTTTGACACACCTCAAAACATGAATTTGCTTTTGTCAAACGAGTTTTCAATTGGGTGACAAAGCTTAAAGAGATGACAGTAACTTTCCATTCCTCAACTTCTGAAATCAAGGCCAAAGAGCTGTACAAAGTATTTCAGATTTTCTCTAGACTGGGAGTATGCATGAAATTTTACGTAACTGTAGTAAGGTGCTATATGGACCTGAGGACTAGTGAGGTTCACTTTAGGCACTTTTTGTTTATTTTATTTATGTTTCCTTGTTAAGAACCGTACTATATGAGAGCAACAAAATAACAGCTAAGCTTAAAAGAATATTATGTTTTTATTCACAAGCTGGAAGAGGCACGCTAAAGTTCAGCGATTCTATGAGCCTGCTTGCTAGCCGCTGCAATTTTACCTCCGTAAACAATCACATGGTAGTATTTAGAACATGGATAAATATCTCTCCTAACTGTAAGGATGCAAAATTTGACATTTTGTCTACATTTACAAGCCAGTGGGCCACCTGAGACATTGGATGAGAAATTGAATAAGCATCTCACCTTCTTACGGTACTATTTAGAACACGGATAAAGATCTCTCATGTCGTCTACTCCTAAAAAATACGAAAATGCGACTGTTGCACAGAGCACGGACGGCGCGACGCGGCCCGGCCCACCCTCTCCCTCTCCCACACGAACACGCCAATGCGCCCGTGCCCTGCCGGAGAGGAAGAAGACGGCGGTGGCGTTAGGGTTAGGGTTCCGGCGAGGTTAGGGTTTTATTCCTCGGCGACTCTAGAAGGGGGTTGGGGGGAGGCGGTTGTGACACGGCGGTGGTGTTGGGTGAGATGGCAACAGGGCGCGCGGGAGAAGTCGGTTGGGCGGGGCCGGCAGCGGGGGCGTCGCTGCGGAGCTTGTCGGCGGCCAGCCCTTGGATTAGGGTGGGCGGTGTTGATGAGCGAGGGCGGGTTGAGGGTGGTACGACGAGGCGTCTAGGTGGAGTTCACCTAGTCCACCCATGACTCACACACCAACAGTCTAGCACCCCCCATCGCTCCTTTGGTCTCCGCATCACCATCGAGTGTTGCTGGCATCTAAAACCCTAACCAGCACAAAGAGTACTCCCATGCCGAGTGCTACCCCTACCTTCGCCAAGAGGTCTTCCATGGTGGGAACCCTGATCTTGTGGGACAAAGGCATGGCGGCACCAGATCTGGTGGGGCAGACCGAGGCGGTGGTGGGGCTCATCGTGTCATGGATGTTGGCTGCTCTCGTCCGCCATGAAGTGAATATTCGTAACACCCTAAAAATCCATTTATGCAAATATAGTTTATTTGATTTATTTATATTTATGTATTTTTTGTGCATTCAAATATAGAGCAAATAATTATTGTTATAAAAATAAAAGCCACTATAAGACATAAGCACATGTTTATGCATTTGATGCTGCTGCATTTGAGTGATGAAGCTTAGAATTCAGGAGTTGTCTTTTTCCCCTCCCTCCGCCCTTCTCTGCTTTTGGCCCGGTCTGGCCCAACCAGCCACGGACACCCCCGAAATGGTGACGTCCGTGACCGAGCATCTTCAAGAGATTAGCCAAAAATAGTGGCGTATGTGACCGAGCATCTCTAAGAGATTAGCCAAAAAAACTAGCCAAATTTACTAATTAAGCTACTCTCTAAAATAGATTTGACATAAAAATACTAGAGTATTCCAACTGACTCTGTAAAACCAAGAGACTGAATGACTAGTAAGGTAGACTATCCAAAAGTAAAGAGCGAATGAGGTGAGATGAAGAGCTACTAAATTTGGAGAGTTATTTATAGAGTCTGTTGTAGATATTTTTCCTTTGATAATAGCCAAATTTACCGATAGAAAACAATTTGGCTCCCTGAATCCCATCCCGTCCCCACTCTCCATGGAGCTGGGTGGCGGCGCCGCCGCCAGGAGCGCGAGGCTCTCCTCCGACGATGCCGCCGCCACAGCTGCAGGCGGGGACCGGCTCAGCACACTCCCCGACGATGTCCTCGTCCTCATCCTCCTCAAGCTCAGCACCCGCGCTCCCGCCCAGACCCGCGTCCTCTCCCACCGCTGGCGCCGCCCAGACCCGCGTCCTCTCCAACCACATCTGGGCTCTCCTCCCGGTGCTCAAGTTCTCTTTTCCCAATGAGCCCCACCTGTTGCGCGACGTCCTCGACGCCCATGAGGTGCTCGTCCGCGCTCCCTTGGTCCGGGCCGATGGTGCCACCCCTGAGTCTCTGACGGTCTGGCTCCCCGCCGCCGCACGCCGCGTCTCCGGTGACCTAACCATTTTCAGCCATGGTCCGGTGAAAGATGAAGAGGAAGAACAGACCGCGCAAAGAGGCGCCTTTGAGTTCCCCTGCTTTGAGAAGGCCACCTCGATCTCGCTCTCCTTGTCTTTTCAGGGCCTCGCCGTGCCTCCCACCGGTGTCTTCACTCGGCTCACAGAGCTCTACCTGAGCCACGTCTAGTTCCACGGCCCAGGCGAGCTAGGCGACGCCGTGTCCTCGCTGCGGTGCCCGTGCTTGCAGAGGCTCACCGTTGACAACGCCCTGGGGCTGGGCGATCTCTCTATACATTCGGAGTCTCTGCTTGTGATGGTGCTCAGGAACCTACGCAGCTTGTCTCAGCTCACAGCTGTGGCGCCGGCACTCAAGGAGTTAACTGTGGCATTGTGTTTTCTCAAGAGTCAGCCGGTCGCCAACATCTCGGCTCCTCAGCTGGCGAATCTTGATTGGACTGATGAATATGACCCGAGCTCTGTCCACCTTGGCAAGATAGAACATCTCCGATGTCTGGGCACCGGCTTTTATCTTGTTTAACCACATGGCGTCATACATAATCACTCTTGTTTAAGTCTCTTGCAGCGCTTTGAGGGCATCAAAACTCTTTCTCTAGTGCTGGTGTATCCACGGGTGAGTTCCCACTTCTATTATCTGGAACTATGCCAATAGTACCATAGCATGCTAGTGTATCCATCCAAGGTTCCTATTTGTCATGCTGACTAAGAATGGTCCTAGGCCACCACAGAATTGAAGTTTGCTCAATGCCCTTTTTTTGTAAATAAAAACCCTTAACTCCTAAGGCTTGATTATTAGACATATAAAAGCAAGTAAATAAAGTGGGCGGTATTACTTATGAGTCTTCGTTTAGTATAAAATAATTTGACTTGTGCATTGAACCAAATGGCTTACGTAAAATAATGTTTCGTTTCCACTATTTTGACTTTTTATCAAATTGTCAAGGTGATGGTGATATCAGGAAACCACCATTGGTAGAAGTCATTGCATGTTTTGGTTTACTTAGGACCTCAGGTCCCTCCAATATTGCTTAGCACACTCATTAATTACTATTTTTCAATATATCTTCAAGAAACATGAGAGCCAAAGTATTTTCTGGAGAACAAGTAGTCTTGTCTTTTAAGCAGCTCACAATGGCCATGCTTTGTGTAAGAAACCCAGAATGAACTTGTTACTTATAGCGACCATTTTGTGCGTGCTCACAACAAAGGTCATGTAGCAACAATCACTGAAACAGTTTTAGGTTTCATTCCCCTTCTTTCATATATGACTATATGAGTATTTCCCCCTTTGTTTTACTTCCTTCGAAAACGCACGATATAGGGAACTATCAATACATGATGGACATATATGGCAGTGCTCCCTGACATTACATTTTTGCGCCTGACAGTCATGGCAAATGGACATGCCTTTGAGGCCAGCGCATTCCATGTTCTCAGATTGTCTACTGGTATAAGGGGGTTGGTGCTGCAGTTAGTTGCTACTGTCTCGGAGGTAAACCTATTCTTCGTTTAACTAATAATCTCCCCAGACACAGAAAAAGGTAACATTTTGGTCCCTAAAAGGCATTTTTTACAATGAATTTCAGTTAAAATATATATCGAAAGCCAAATTAAACTAAAGCATCATGAAACTGTTTTTCAAGGTAGATCGATGCATGCTGTTTTTATGAGAGAAAAAAAACATGTGTTTGTATTTAGTTAGACATGGTCCCTAGGTAAAACACAACTCGTTTTCTTAGTTGAGTAAGTATAGAAGTTGCCAGGGAAGTAATGGGAAGAATTCTGCATTTGTATTTTTTTTTTGGCAAATGTATGGTTTATTTGATATCCAAATGATAGCACTTTACTCTGTAGATTTAACTGTTGGTATACATTTGGGCTGTAAGTTGTTGCTCTCGTTCTAGTTATTGTTAGCCTGTTTGAAATATATGGTTGTGGACCTGTGGTGAGTCGTTGGATGGCACTAAAGCAGATCAACCTTGGTAATGTATACAAAAGTTAGAAAATAATACGGCAGTGAACAGAAAGTTGAAGGAGTAATTGGCCTAAGTATTTATAATTTTTTTATAAAAAAAAGAAAGATAAAAAAGTTCTGTTGGTCCATTCAAAACTTATGCACTAGGATTGATTCAAAATCTCCTTAATTCTGGGTGATTAATAGCATGTTGCTGTTACATGAAATTTTCTGTGATTTTGTAAACAGAAAGTATGCTCTTGTGTGCTATCTTTTCTCTTGGTAGAAAATTATATTGGTGCAACTAGTTACTGGGCTCAAAAGTGTTCAAGAATCTGACTATTTACTCTCTCTCCTTTTTTATCATGCAATCACCAATTAATTTTATTAAGTTAATATACTTCCTTGCGTGAGGCCCAAACTGTATGCTCATCCGATTGCATATATGCCTTCAGCGAGTAGAGTGGGAAACGGAGGAACTCTTGTTGAATCACCTTAAAGAAGTAGAAATCACTGGATGGAGAGGAACTGAACATGAAGTTGCTTTTGTGAAACAACTTTTTCGATTGGGGGACAAAGCTTAAAGAGATGACAGTAAATTTCCATCGTTCAATCTCTGAAGCCAAAGCCAAGGCCAAGGAGCTGTACCAAATATTTCCGAGTTTCTCTAGGCCAGGAGTATGCACGAAATTTTACCTATATCAGAAGCATAGGAAGGTGTTATATGCACCTGAGTACTAGCATACCAGGTTGTCACTGTAGGCACTTCTTTATGGTTTATGTTTTCTTGTTATGAGCGGTACTGTATGATAGCATCAAAATGAGAAGATCTTAAAGGAAAATGTTGAGGTCCATTATATTTTGTATTTTGTTTATGGAAGTTGAAGCCATGCTTCTTCTTTTTTTTACAAGCTGGCAGTGTATAAGAAGTTCAGAACCAAATATAGGCATGTTAAACATCAGCGATAGTATGACCCTGGTTGCTAGCCGCTGCCATTTTACAAGCTAATGATATTTGGAACACGGATAATATCTCTATGACCCCCTTTATTTTACTTCCTTCAAAAACGCAGGATATAGGGAACTATCATTACATGATGGAAAAAATGACACTGCTCCCTCACATTACATTTTGGGAAAATGGTGTTCTTGCCCATGTCCAGCAGTCTAATTGTGATTTTGCCCTTGTTTTTTCAACTTTATGATTTTGCCCCTGTTATTTTAAAACGAACCATCCGTTTGCCCCTGGTTTGGATGTCTATTAGATGGACATGGAATAAATAAATTAAAAAAAATCAAAATCCTCATAAGCAGGCAAAAAAGACCATGTTGCCTCATCTTATCTTCAACCTCCTGCTTCGTCTAGCCACAGGCAAACCACACGGTGTCAGCTTAGCAAGCATCATGGGCGTCGGCCGTCCCCAGCCAAGGCGCGTTGTGCGCGGGGCGGTGGCACTGGTCATGGGGCGAGAACGGTGCCCGGCCGCGGCCTTCAGTCAAAACACGTGGGCGTCGCGGCATGGCCGCTTGGCGGGCTTGAGGAGAGGAGGACCTCCTCGCCCGGATCCACGCCACGGAGAAGGAGACAGAGGAGCTCCTCGGTCCCGTGCCGCCGCCACCGGAGGAGGAGATAGGGAGCTCCCCAGCGCCGCCATCGGATCCCGGCGTCCCAGCCGAGCTGCCACGGATTCGCTCGTCCACGCGCCCGCTGTCGCCGGAGGGAGGAGAGAGGGGGCTCGATCCCCGCACCACCACTAGATCTGGCCGGGGGAGCGGAGGAGCGTCGCCGGATCTCGCCTCCCGCCGCATCACCCGCCTCGAGCCGCGAGGGACGCGGCTGCGGCCCTCACCACCGCGCCACCGCGAGCTCCAGCCACCACGCCGCCGGGGGGAGGAACGCCGCTGGGAGGGGAGTGGTGAGGCGCCGCCGGGCTGGAGAAGGAGAGGGAGGGGGAGGAACGCCTCTGGGAGGTGAGGAGAGAGTGCGGCCGCCGCCGCCGCCCCTTGTGTCAGGCTGGGGAGACGCAGAGCGAGAGGGAGGATAAAATCACAAGGGCATATTTGTCCTTTGGTACAAAAGTTAACACCGTTAGGGGTGGATGACGGAGCAGGGGCAAACCGGTGCTTCGTGAATGGCACAGTAGGGGTAAATTCACAAAGTCAAAAAAATAGGGGCAAAATCACAATTTCAATACAAAACAAGGATACAAACGCAAGAGCCCCTTACATTTTTACGCCTCACGGTAATGGCAAATGGACATGCCTTTTTTAGGCCAGCGTATTCCATGTTCTCAGATTGTCTACTGGTATAAGAAGTTTGATGCTGCAGTCAGTTGCTACTGGCTCAGAGGTAAAATTTCTTTGTTCGTCTAATACTCTCCAGACACAGAAAGAAAGGCAGCGTTTTGGTTCCTAAAAGGCATTTTTGACAATTACTTTCTGTTAAAGTATATAATGAATGCTAAATTTTAAACTAAAGCATTATGAAACTATTTTTTCAAGGTAGATCGATGCATGCTGTTTTTATGAAAAAAAAACATGTGTTTAGATTTAGATCATGTTTGGATCCGAAGATATAGTAGTTAGCTATTAATAATTAGCTCCTTGGGTATAAACAGGTCTAGCCAGTAGTTTAGCTAATTGTTAACTGAGTATCCAACTAACAACTATTTTATTAGTTGGACCAAACTAGCCAATAGTAGCTAATATGAGCTATGATCTATTAGCTAGCTAACTATTAGCAGCTAATTAATCCAAACAGGTCCTTAGTTGGACATGAAACATGACTCGTTTTCTTACTGGAGTTAGTATTCAAGGCCGCGTTTAGTTCGCCGAAGTTGGCGCCGCCCGATTTACTGTAGCATTTTGTTTTTATTTGGTAATAATTGTCCAATCGTACTAATTAGGCTCAAAACGTTCGTCTCGCAAAGTACAATCAAACTGTGCAATTAGTTTTTTATTTCATCAACATTTAGTACTCCATGCATGTACCGTAAGTTTGATGTGATAGGGAATATTCTTTTTGTATAGTGCCAAAGTTTGAATTTTGGTGGAACTAAACATGACGCAAGTTGCCAGGGAAGTAATGGGAAGAAACCTGCATTTGTTTTTTTTTTTTGCAAATATATGGTGTATTTGATATCCTAATGAGCACTTTACTCTGTAGATTTAACTGTTGTTGGTATACTATTTGGCCCGTAAATCGTTGCTCTATTTCCTCGTTATTGTTAGCCTGTTTGAAATATATTGTTGTGCATCTGTGGTGAGTCTTTGAATGCAGATCAACCTTGGTAATAATGTATAAATAAAAGAGTTAGAAAATAATACGGCAGTGGCCAGAAAGTTGAATACTTAGGCCAATTACTCCTCCAACTTTTTTTATTTAAAAAAATCATCGATACTTGTAGTGAAAATGTACGGACATTTGTGAAAATGGTTAAAAGATAAAAGTTCCTTTAAAAAAAATCCTGTATTCCTGTTGGTGAAACGCTACGGACATCCTTGGAAAAATGGTCAACGATTTTCAACGCCAGCGGACGAGTCCCAAATCCTGGGGTGCCCATTTTTAGAGCCCTGCGGCGGTGGCGGCGGCGATGGCGAGGTCTCCACCAAGCGTGCCAAGCTCTCCACTGGCGCCTCCACCGGCGCCGGTAGCGAGGACCGCCTCAGCGCGCTCCCCGACGACATCCTGGTACTCATCCTCCGCTGCCTCAGCACCTGCGGCGCCACCCAGACCAGCGTCCTCTCCCGCCGCTGGCGCCGCGTCTGGGCGCTTGTCCCGACGCTCTGCTTCCGCTACACCCCAGATACCCGCCAGATCGGCCCCGCCCTGGAGGCTCACGAGACGGCCCTCCTGCGTCTCTCCGTCTTGACCCGGGACGCGGCCCCCGACTCCGTGTCGGCCTGGCTCGCCGTCGCCGCGCGCCGCCTCTCCGGCAGCCTCTTGTTTCACAACACTGTTGTGCGGGAGTGGGGTGCCCAGGAAGGCGATGAGGAGGAGGCCGCGCAGAAGGGCGCCTTTGAGCTCCCCTGCCTGGAGCGCGCCACGGAGGTCTCGCTTCACCTAGGGTTCCTCGTCCTCGCCGTGCCTCCTGCCGGCGTCTTCGCTCGGCTCTGCGAGCTGTACCTGTCTTCCATCCGATTCCACAGCCCGGGGTTGCTCGGCGACGCCGTTTCCTGGCCTCGATGCCCGTGCCTGCAGAAGCTTAACGTCCTTGACGCCCGGGGGCTGGATAACCTCTCCATCCATACAGATTCTCTCCGGCAAGTGGAGCTCACCGTTCTGCGCGGCTTGCGGCAGCTCAACATTGTGGCACCGGCTCTTGAGGAATTGAAAGTTGCACACTGTTACTTCTACAGTCGGAGGAGCCAGCCGGTTGCCAACAGCACAGCGCCTCAGCTGGCAACCCTTCGGTGGATGGATCCATATGATCCAAGCTCTGTCCATCTTGGCGAGATGAGACATCTTCGATTACTGAAGCCTTTCTTCTTTGTTGTTTATGGGGATGACAGCTCCACACACAATCAGTCTTGTTTAAGTCTCTTGCGGCGTTTCAAGGTCATCGAACATCTTATACTCACACTGATCTATCTGTCGGTAAGTCCACTTCCCCACTTACGTGAATTTTCAGTGCGTGCATGTTTTCCTTGCCTGTTCATGGATTTGAAAACTAAGGCATTGATGCAATCTGAGCAAGCAATCTCCTACGGTATCATTGCAATTAACATAACATGGACAACGAAGATAAAATTAACATATTCAAGTCTTTGCTATTAGAAGTTTAGAACTAGAAAAAAAAATGTAGCTTCACTTCAAGTAAGGCATGCCTAGTTGGCTGTTTGTCCAACATAAATTGTGGTGATCTGGTGATAGCTTGCTTGGCACTAAAAAAGGATTTTTGTTGATAGAGAACTAGCCATGCAATTTTATTCTTCATGATCACAGGTAAGTTATATTAACCACTTCCTGCATGGTAATAGCAATGGTCACCTTATTAGAACTACTTAAGATGAATGCTGTTGGCTCTTTGCAATTGTCATATATGACCCTTTTTTTTGTGACCTCCCATGGACACGCAGGACATCGATGACTATCAATATGTGATGGAAGATATGACAATGCTCCCGAACATCACGATTTTGCACCTGAATATATTTGCAAACAAACATGCTTTTGGGACCAGCGCATTTCATGTTCTTAGGATGTGTTCTGGTATAAGGAAGCTGATGCTGGCATTTCTTGCTCGTACTTATGTGGAGGTAAAGCTATCATTTGTTTATCTAAGATGCATTTGTATTTCTTGGCTCACAATGGCTTGATCTGTTAGTGCCCCTAGGCATTCGTTCTATATTTTGTCCGGAAGTTATGGCTCATATATGTCGTAATGTATGTATTTATGCATACACATGGCTTGTGTGATTACTCCCTAGTATGGCAGATTTTTTTCTGCATTTGTACTTGTAAAGCTGTACCTATACCTCTTCCCTTTGGGGCTATGCAATATAATTGAGTTGCATTCTGAAAGACTAATTACAGCACTGTGCTCTATAGTTTACAGTTTTGACTGAGTGTTCTACTATTTAGGTTACAAAATATTTGTTTTATTTGAATTATTGTCTGTCTGGTAGTGTTTCATAAAAAAACATATATATGGCAGTGCGCAGAAAGTTAACTGAGTTGTTGCATGGGAAGCTTGATCTTGACAGTTAGGAGTTACGTAGGACATATCAGTAAGTGTTGGTAAATAATATACCAGTGGCAGTTTTGCAATGCCCCTAATTTGTAAAATGTTTCATGCTTCCATTGGATAACCTGAGCCCTATGGTTGAATGAAAATCTTCTTGAACATTATTGACATCATAATCATGCTTGCTATACCACTTTCTCTTAGCTCACAACAGTCATATTGCATCTGTTGGCTTCAAAGTAATGTCCGGGACGAATCCATTTGCAAATCTTATGCTGTCTGTGATTGCATAATTGGGCACTCAGACCATTTTCAGTTTCCTGTCTGTTTATTCCATCCAACAATATTCTTACATTGACAAGGAAGATAAAATTAAGTACTGAAGGCATACCATATTTAAGCCTTTATTGTTAGAACCAGAATTAGGAAAAAATGTAGCTTGGCATGCCTAGTTGGCTGTTTGTCCAACACAAAATGTGAGAATATACAACTTGCTTGGGACTAATTTTTGCTGGCTTACAACTAGCCATGTAATTTTATTGATGCTCGCAGTTAAGTTATAATGACCACTTCCTGCATGGTAACAGCAATGGCCACCTTATTAAAACTACTTAAGATGAGATGTTGTCTCTTTCCAATTGTCTTGTATGACCCTTCTTTTCATTTTTTTGGTGATTTCCCATGGCAGGTTTTTCAGCATTTGTACCTATACCTCTCACCCCCCTTGGGGCTATGCAATGTAGTTGAGTTGCATTCTGTAACACTAATAACAACACTGCCCTCTATAGTAACTACTAACTTACTAGTTACATTGGAACTTGATCTTGACAATTAGGGGTTACGAGATATTAGTGAGTATTGGTATATAAAAAAATAGTGGCAATTTTGCAAATGCCCCCAATTTGTAAAAGGTTCCATACTTCCATTGGACAACATGGGCCCTGTGGTCAATTAAAATCTCTGTGGACATTTTTTACAGCATAATCATGTTCACTATACCACTTTATGTCAGCTCAAAACAGTCATATTGCTGCAATCTGTTGGCTTCAAAGTAATATCCATGATGAATTAGTTCGCAAGTCTTGTTATCTTTGATTTGCACATTTGAGTAATATAAGACAATTTTTGGAATTTACTGTCTGAATGTCCTCCCAACAATATCAATTAATCTTACAGTTAAAGTTTAATGTGTTTATTGTTCCAGGCACAAACTGCATGCCCGCCGGGTTGCATTTGCGGTGAGCACCAAAACTGGGAAACCGAGCACCTGTTGTTGAATCACCTCAAAGAAGTAGAAATCACTCGGATGAGAGGATATGAACATGAAGTTACTTTTGTGAAGCAGCTGCTCATTTGGGGGACAGCGTTAGAAAAGGTGACGGTGTTTTTCGATGAATCAGTTACTGAAAGCGTGGCCAAGGCGTTGTCCCTGGTGCTACGAAGCTTTCCTAGGCCAGAAATAAAAAGGGCCGACCGCCGGAGGCTCCCACATGAGTGGGGTCTGTGGAAGGGAAAAAACGAGGCAAGCTTCCCCCGCAAAATCTGCGGAGAGGCTGCTTTGAACCCATGACATGGAAATCCACACGTACATGGACGTGCTAAAGATGATGTATATACCCGAAGACTAAGGCACCGGGTTATCGTGTAGTTTTCCTGTTTTGTTGTGTACTGCAGTGGTTGAAATCATCTGAAACCTACAGCACGGGGTAAGTGCTGGCAGGCATGCACATTGCCGAGGAGTGATAAGTCTTGTTTGGATCTATCAGTCCCATGACTCTGACTCTGTAATGCACATTTACAAGCCTTTTGTGAAAGAATGGCCAGGTTGATTCTTTCTTCTTTCACAACAAAGCGCCTGATTGGATTGCTGTAGTAGCAAATTTTCCCGACAGTAAACATTCACTGCTTGGATTGACCTGTATTTTTTATTTGCGCAAGAGACAAATAAAATCTCCTCTTTTTTCAGTTTGTTCAATGGGCTGGAGTGAGAAAATAAGCAGGTTTTACGGTGGGCCAAAAAAAACAGAATGGGCCAAAAACATGCGCAGACCTGATTTAGATGCATGTGTATTCACTACAATCCACATGTATTGGAGTGTAGTGGAATATAATAAAATTTAGTTTAATTTCACTCCAATCCACTTCAAAATATGTGGATTGAGATGAATATATTCGCTTCCAAAACAAGACCTCATGTCCTCATGTATATGTTTGGCCCGCCTGGCTGTTGGTGACCATCGCAGCGCACGACGCCGCGAACTGCCGATCCCGCACCGGCCGGCGCGCCGCCATGGGGGTGGCCACGAGAGCCAAGAAGAAGCGGCTGCAAGAGGAGCGCCTCGCGGAACGTATCAGCCTCCCCGACATCGTCTCCCTCCTCCCCACCAAAGACGGCGCCCGCACGCAGGTCCTCTCCTCCCGCTGGCGCCACCTATGGCGCGCCGCTCCTCTAAACCTCTCGCCAGTTGGCCGCGCGCGCGGCATCCCCGTCGGCGAGGTCTCCCGCATCCTCGCTGCACACCCGGACCCCGGCCGCCGCTTCTCCATGCCTGTGTGCTACCTCAGCTACGATGACGAGTACTCCGAAACCACACTGGACGGCTGGCTCCGTTCACGCTCCCTCGACGACCTCCAGGAGCTCGAGTTCCAGCCCTATCCTCGACTCCTGCTGCCGCCATCAGTACACCGCTTTTCATCGGCGCTCCGCATCGCTAGCTTCGGCGGCTGCACTTTCCCGGACGTAGACCATGGCGCCGCGCTTCTGCTCTTGCCGGTTCTCGAGAGCCTAACCCTCTCCGATGTCTGCATATCGGGGAACTCTCTGCATGCCTTGCTCGCCAGCTGCCCTGTTCTTCAGAGCGTGCTGCTACACATCTATGGCTCGCCTCGACTGCAAATCATGTCCCCTAGTCTCATAAGCATCGGCGTGGGTTATGGCTGGAGAAATCTGGGGTTACAACAGCTCGTTTCATCAAGGATGCCCCGTGTCTAAAAAGACTACTGTATTCCGGAACAATGTAGATGGACATCCGGGTGATCTCTGCGCCAAGATTGGCTATTTTGGGGAAACTCTATGGCAACAGTCCCAGAATTCAGTTCACAGGTGATCTCTGCGCCAAGATTGGCTATTTTGGGGAAACTCTATGGCAACAGTCCTAGAATTCAGTTCAGCAATACAGTTTTTGAGGTACACGCGTCGTCATTCTCACTTTCACCAGACTTCATGAGGGATCCGAGTCCCTTTCTATGCTTATTAACTCAGGATCGACTGTTGTTAGCATGATGAATGTGGTAGACAGTGTGAAGGTTCTATCTTTATCTGGTGTGAAACTTTGTTTGGATGAGGTTATTAACTTACTGAAGTGCTTTCCACACTTGGAGAAGTTATACATCAAGGTGAATCCTTGTGCCGAAGTATTGTGCATCTGCATGTTTCATCATTTATTTACTAGTATGTTGATGACTGTTTTTAAACTAAGTTGATTAGAATTGACACCGTTCCTCTGTTCGCTTCGCTTCTCAGGCAACAAGTGATTGTGTGGAAAATGTGTGGTATCAAACAAACCCGGAACTTATAGGCACCCTTGACATCCGTCTCAGAAAAATTGTGCTGGGAAACTATCAAGGAAGCAAATCACATGTTGACTGTGTCAGGTTCTTGTCAAATGCTGAGTGTGTTGGAGTCACTGATGCTCAAGTCAGGAGTTGAAGTCGTTACCAACCTGTGGATTGCAAGACAACATAGGCTACTCCACATAAAAAAGAGTGCTTTGAGTGGTGCACGGGTTGCTTTTGTATCTCCTGAAAATTACATATTGACCGGTTCATATGACTTTCTATGTGCTAGGCAAGTGCATGATCTGTCAAGCGACCCTTTTCAAAGGCTTCATAGTTCTAATGACACCAATAAAGACATGTGATTTTTAGGGGAGACGAATATCGTACGAGGTTTAGTCATTTTGCATTGTGTTGGCATTTGTTATATCTTTTCCTCATATGCTACGATTTGTCAACTGATTTATTTGGTGCTATATTTCCCTTTCAATATAGAGATGTTCATTGTTTTTCCCCACCTGGTTGTCATTGCAACGATTGCTATTTGCATACATCCTCCATCAAATAATATACTATTGTTTCCTTACTAAAGGAAAACCTCTTTTGTAAAGCCATCCATGCCAGTATTATTGTTACTAACCTGGGGATTTGAGAGAGAATAATCACTCCATTAGTGGAGACAACCATATATAGAGGGCTTCATGGCTCATGGGCCTATAGTAGATGGCCTTCATACACTTAACGCCCCTCTTTAAACTCAAGGTGGAACTAGAGGATCTGAAACATTAGGTTTAAGGAAATAAAGTCGATGATGTTCTCTTATTTGTGCTTTAGTGAAAAAAATCTATCAACTCCAGCTCTGAGGGCACATACTGAAGAGCAATGGTTTTCTAATGACAATGAGACCGAGTGAAGAAGGCATCAACCCCAATATGCTTTGTACGTCCATGCTTCACAGGATCATTAACGGTCTGGATGGCTCTTATATTATCATATAGAAGTGGTGTGGGGTCATCACAAGAAATACCAGAATCGGCCAACAACATCGGAGCCATACAATCTCTAAAGTGGTAGTTCCAAGTGTTTGAAGTTTTGCCTCTGTACTAGAATGAGATACACCTAGCTACTTGCTTCTTGGAACTTCCATGCAATAGAAGAGCCAAGAAAGATGCAATAGCCTGAGATGAAATGACGATCCATTGGGTCATTCATCCAAGTGGAGTCTAAGTAAGCATGTAGCTAAAGCAGGCTATCACGAGCATTCCTCTCTCACTTCAATTCAGATCCCGCTCCACCGCCGTCGCCACCTGCCACACTCCATCTTCGCTGGCCAGAACCGCACCCCTGTTCCCATCATCCTTCATTACCGTGGCCTAGCTCCTCCCCTTGCACTTACGTGCAGCCTCCTAGCCACTTCCCTCACTTTCACGTCTTCCTTGATCGCTTTCACTGTCCACGTTCCCTTCCCTAGTTGGTTCCACTGCCTGTGCCACCACCATACTTGAGTGCAGGTGTACTATTGTGCTCTAAGTCAAGTGGGATGAAGAAGGATGATGACAAGGAGGCGGTCACGGTCAGGGCTAGGTGAGAGAGAGAGAGTGAGATATTGAAAGGCAAGACAAAATAAAAAAAAATAGTCAGATAGATCCTAAACCCTAAACACTAAACCCAGACGCTCGCACTTGCAATCCGTTTCTCGCCCTATTTCGCGTGCCCACATGGGGCCCGCACCACCCCAAACGTCACCAGCATTGAGAAGAGGGGGAGGGGGCAGCGGATGCCGAGCTAGCGGCGGGAGGAGGAGAAACCGAGACGAGGCAACACAAAGTGAGGAGAGAGATGCAACACCCAATCTACTTTTGAAACATCAAAACGCAACACTTGCAACATATGTCTGAAGGCAGATGAAACACTTGAAACATGCATCTGAAACACTTACAAAACACCTAAAAAACACTTAAAAACCATTGTAAAACACATGCAATATCTAGATAACACACTAGCAACATATGTGTGAGACATATGCAACATCCAAATAAACACACTTGCAACATACGTCTGGACAAAACAGATGAAACATTGGGAACAAAAGCTTGCAACATATGTAACACGATCTACTTTTGCAACATCCACATGAAACACTTGCAACATACCTATGAAACATCAGAAACACTTAGAACATAGGCTTGCAACATGGGTTTTTCACGCTTCTTCCGTATGACGCAGCGTAGAGCGGGGGGATGGCCGGTTCCGGCCAGCGGGCAGCCAAGGATGGTGGCGTGGCCTGGGCCTGGCCAGCGACGGCCCCCTCTCCTGGCCGCCTGGCCTGGGCGCGGCGAAGGACGGAGCACGACATGGCGTGGCGGGGGATGGAGGCACTGCTGCAGTTGCCGAGCACGCGCTTGGAGCTTGGAGGCTGAGGGGCGACTAGCAGCGTACCTCGCGCGAAGGATTCCTTCTCCTCTCCGCAGGGGATGAGGTGCCACGGGGATGGGGGCGCCGCGGGATGGAGGCGGCGGCGCGACGAACGAGCACGGAGTGGAGAGACGAGCTTCCGTGGGGAGATTTGATTTCTTTTCCTCAGATCCGGACGGACGGACGCCCGTGGCCAAGTATTACCGCATAAGAAAAGCAGCAGCTCCTGATTTGAGGCTAATGTTGAAGTTTAGCCTAGAAAAAATATACATACAAAACTAAAATAAACTCCAATTAAAATAAGGGACCTAATTTTGCGCTTCCGTGGAGATTGATCTTACTCTTGCTTATAAGAGCATCTTCAAGAGTTCTCTAAACCTCCTCCTAATCCTAAGTTTTTAGAAAGATCCATAAAAAATCCATCTCCAACAACTCTTAATACAATCTCCTAATATTTTAGGGGTTGGAAAAAATCCCCCTAATCCGCGTAACTTTACGCGCCGCAGCCTCGCATGTATCCTTCGACTCCCGCTCGGTTTCCTTCGCCTCCCGCGCGTTTTCCCTCGTGGCGCAGTGTTTTGGCGCGGAACTTCCCCTCGC